GCGAGCCTTCGATCTTGTGTTATATACGGTGGGTATCACTTAGTCCGTGCTAGGAGGGGATACGGCACCAGCGAGCAAAGCAGTCTTGGCACTGAAGGGTGCCAAGGCTTAAGTACAAGTCTAGCACAGAGCAAGAGATATCGACCCGTCCTCTCCTTCTATCTTTACCGTTATATAACCAGGGTTGGCGTCTCTTAATCCATGATACCGTCTTCCTTCGAATGCAATGCACTCTGATCCTACTCGCACCATCATAAACCCGTTCAACTGCGCCTTTTAGACGTGTTTGGGGTTGAGCAAGGGTTGGTCCGTCCCAGTGACCCGATCCTGAATGAATAGGAGCTGTGTTTTTTTTGGGTTGGATGCAGTCATGATGAGGGTGTGTTGTGTTCGGGAAAGGGCGGTGGTGGAGTCTCATCCCCAGGGAGCAAGCATTCCTGGCTGGAGGGGCCAGACTTCACCAGCATGGATTCAGAGCTGTTGTCGACCTTAGATCGTGCTAGTTGAATTACAGGCCTGGCCCCCCTGGGGAGGAAAACGATCTCGGCCTGAAGTCGATATGGTGATTGTTTGGTCGGGATGATGAACTGAGGCCTAGATTTCTCTACCTGGCTTCTCCTGATCACTATGCGCTGTCATCTGGACATGTATTACCTGAAAGATAGCTTGATACATTCATGATCAGAGGGGTCAATAGCTCTTAGTCCATGCTAGTGGGATTACAGTCCTGGCAAGAAAATCGATCTCCGCCGTAAGTCGATACGGCTGTTGTTCCGTCAGGATGATGACCTGAGGCTGAGATTCCACTACGCTGCTTCCCATGAGCATTATGCACCCTCATCTGGACTGTATTGGACCTGAAAGATAGCGTGTATACATGCATGATCCAAGGGCATCGAATTCGGGCAAAGATGGTAGCTGTGTCAAAGAGAAAAATACTGACCTTTGTTCAGCATCTGTCACTCCGTACCAAACGGAATCTCCGCTGGCCCGGTGTATTGCCGACCTTTTTCCTTCTTTGTGTTTAATTTGTCTCGAAATCTAATTGACATCGCATGAAACTGGTTTTTTGCAGCTCTGACATGATGTGTAAGAGGAACACCAGCCGCAAGTATGCTTGGTTAGAACCCCTTGGTTTCTAGGGTTCAGGATTTAGGGTTTATGTGGTTGGTGTGATCTATGACTTATTTGAATCAGCTACAGGCATGCGAATGATGGATAATTATTTTCGTATTGGAGGAGTAGCTGTTGATCTTCCTTATGGATGGATAGAGAGTTGATGCGGTGGTCCAGGGTGTAGAGTTGGTGCGATGCTTCAGGGTTTAAGGTGTACGCTTTATGTGGCGGTTCAGGCATAATGGTTTAGGGTTTATGTGGTGGTTTTAGCCTTTTAAGGTTGAGTTTATGTAGTGGTTCAAAGTTTCAAGTTTACGATTTTTATGCGGTGGATCTGGCGTTAAGGCCGACTAGGGTTTATGTGGTGGTTCAGTGTTGAGGGGTACTAAGGGTTTATGTGGGCGCTCACTGTCGAGGGCTAAGGGTTATGTGGCAGTTTTCAGGTTTTAGGGTTTGCGGTTCCGGTCGTTATTCAGGGTTTAGGGTTTGTGTGGTGGTTTAGGGTTTATGTGGTGCAGGGTTTAGGGTTTAGGGTTTCGCGTTTAAGGTTTATGTGGTGGTCCAGGGTTGAGGGTTTACGAGGTGGTTCATGGTAAGGGTTTAGGGTTTATGGTTTAAGGTTATGTGCTGTTTTTCAGGGTTTGCGGGTGGCGGTTCATGTGGTGGGTTCAGAGTTTATGTTGTTTCTGTGGTTAAGGGTTCAAGGCTCAGGGTTTATGTGCTGCGGCGAGAAACTCGCTCCAGTGCAGAAGAGCAGTTGTGATAATAGTAACCGCAATCGGGGTTGAGGTGGACTATCACTTTCGGTGTTGTCGGTTAGGGGATTCGGCGGACTGTTTATGAGGGTTCAGCCTCCTGATGAGTCGGTGAAGCTCCGATGAAACAGTCTGTCGCACAGCCCCTAGCTTGTTTTCCTCTTCGCCCTCTCCTCATAGAGAACTGTTTGCTGAACCGTAGGCGGAAAGGGAGAAAAGGACAAGAAACGGGGGGCTTTGACAGGCACTTCCGTCGAAGTTTTACGACTAGTATCCGATCCGCGGTCCATCTGTGGCACACATCTCCTTTCTCGGCCTTTTGCCTAAGATGAAGTTTAGTATTAGCCAAGTTGAGAATCGCGATTGAGCCTCTGCTAAAATCTTGGAGGCTGGGGACCAAGGCCTGTGAAGGGCGGGTGGAAAAAATAACAAAATTTGTCCCGTGCCGTGGCATGGGACCAGGTGTGGCACCGAACGGAAAGATAATTTTCGCCTTGGAGCTGAATAGAAAAAATAATTTCCACCCTGTCCCGAGGCCACAAACTCTTTTTTGCGGAGTCTCATTCGTGATTCTCAAGATGATATATACTGGTGGTTTAAGGCGGAACAAGCGTGTGCGTGATATGCACGACGTCACACGTGCATCTTCGAGGAATGTGCTGAAAAGCGAAATCGTCAGATCAGAATCCCCTGCCTCCAAAGGGAATGAGGGAGCCATGAAAGGATAGAAAGCTGTGTGCTAGGAAGGATGGAGGGCCATAGCCAAAAGGAAGGAGACCTGACTACGGCAATGCAGGGGCAGTGAAGATAATTTACAAATTTAAGGTGAACGTATTTGGACGCGTTTTGCCTGCCTCGACATCATTTCTTAGAGCTCCATTTTTTCTTACCTCTCTTCTGGGAGGAAGCAGCGGCAGCAGCAGCAGGAGCGGCAGGATCCATATTTGGACGGGTTTTGCCTGCCGCGTCATCAAGTGTTCAAAGTGGAACAAACTCCGTCTACATGATGCCGTGGCAGCGTCTACCGTAACTGCAGCTACGGCTTCACTTAACCGTGGCAGCTGTGAGGCACGCCGTTAGCCTTACCATGGTGACTTCTACTGCTACTACAGATTCTTACCATGGTAACTACTAACTACTGCTGTTGGCACATTTTACCTTTTCCATGCCAACACAGTGAACACTTATATAGAAACATTTTAGCATTTACCATTCCAATTGCTGCTGTGGTAACTACTGCTGCCGCAGATGACCTTTACCATGGTAACTGCTGCTGATGTTGCCACAGTCTAGCTTTACGATGGTAACTGCTGCGGCTGCTTTCCACAATTTACGATACGGTAAACTGCTGCCTACCGTCTTCACACGAGCAGAACACCCAGTCATGATGGCTGTCTGTTTCTAGACTGGCTGTGGCCTCAAATACACCTATAAATTCTATAATGCCACAGGGCGTTTTATTTGAGTGAAGATGGTAGGGAACCAGCAGCAGATTTGTTGATTGTTCCAAGTGAACCCAAAGCAAATTCATGGGTGTGGGGGCCTGTTGAAGAGGCTCCTGTTTTTTGTATATTCCCCCCCCCCCCCCCCCCCCACCACCACCACCACCACCACCAACAGAAAAGGCGAAAAAGATAAGAGCACATTGTATAGATTTAGCACAAAATGTGAGGCTTTACTCTCGTGAAGTGAAGGACATAATGTGCCAATACATCGACATGAGACCGGAGAGTGCATGCGCTCTTGCCCGCATCGCCCTTATGCCTCGCCCACTCAGGCAGCAAAAGTTAAGCAAAGTCAATGTTTTTTTTTTTTTTTAATGGGGAAAGCGGAAATCCATGTCGCCTTCAATTAGTGTTGTCTTTTTGCAATTTTGGCGTAAGATTTTGTTCTCCTCAACGATGACATCCTTCTTTCAAATAATGCTTTTATTTATTGGAAGGCATGTCCTTCAACCTGACAGTGTTTTTTCCCTCTTTTTTTCCTCTTTTTTTTTTTTTCCCCTTGTGGTCCCTCTTTTTTTCCTCTTTTTTTTTTTTTTTCCCCTTGTGGACCAATTTTTGATTTATGGGTGTCATCCTTGCACAGGGGCCATGATAATCTTCTTTCTCTCTGTATCGTTCCAAGTTGCATGGATGTCCCAAAGGACTCCTTCAACCTGTTGTCATTTGGGGCATCCGTCGAAATGGGAAAGATACAAAGAATCCAATAGATCATAAGATAAGGTTGCCATGCTCCCTGCAGAAGGATGACATAAATACAAACGGTCCAAATTGCAATGAACCCAATCGCGATGAGAAGCCAAACGATGTCGTGATACAAGTCTGATCTCAGCTGACAAATAAATAATGTCTCCAAAATCACTGATATAACCATGCTCAAAAAATATTATGCAGTTCTCACGAGCATCGTAACCTCATCAGAGGAGAGGAGGTAGAGGGGAGATTAGACAGAGAGGAGGAGGAGGAGGAGGAGAAGAAGAAGAAGAGTCCCTGTCACTCGTGAATGAGCCTCTTGTGCGTGAACCTCCTCTCGCCCTCTTCCTCCTCAGGCAGTCTCTCCCCCTGTCGCCACCTCAGCAATATCGATTCTCTCCCCTGACGTCCTCTGATATATCAGTGTGCCGGTCACAGCAGGCGCAGGTCTCCCTCACCATCCTGGAGACGACAGCAGATCACTCTCGACCTCGCCAGGTAAGTGAAGGTAAGCTTCCCCTCATTCCACTCACAGTCTCACAGCGGCCCTGATCCTCCTCCTCCTCGCCCAATCTGTACACCATGTCTGAAACTATGGCGGCGACAGGGGGAGATGGCCGCTCTCTCTGAATCCTCCCTCTGATGCTGGCGCCGGCAGAGCAAAGCTGACGCCAGCATAAGTACACCATGTCTGAAACTATGGCGGCGATGGCCGCTCAAGCCGAATCCTCCCTCGGATGCTGGCGCCCACAGAGCAAAGCTGACGCCAGCATAATCTCCCCACAGCCTCGCAGTGTCGTACTAGCATCAAGCCAGTACAAGGCAGAATGGTCTCCCAGCAGGGGCTGGGTGAACTTCATAGCGTTGACTCACGTTGACCGGCGGCCTCTGGTCTCCTGGGGTCAACGGCCTGGATCAATCGCAAGCTGATGGCCTGGATGCTGCGCAGTTGCAGATTCCCCACGTGTCCCACTTGCACCGGATTCCGGATTCTTCTGGATACCTGTAGGCAACCAATGATGTGCACATCAGATCTACGGCCGTGGCTTACCAGCGGTTGCGTTTTACCTTTGGGCCTGGAATCCCGTGCTGGGATTGCCCGTTGACTTTCCTAGAGTCAAAATGCCACTTGTAGGGCCTCTGAACGCTGGTTTTGGTCTGCCCACCCCTGGGTACCCGTTGGCCTTGCCGGCTTAGGCCTTTGCCCAGGCTTTTCTCAGACTTAGGTCTTGACTTTTGACCGCTGTTTCGGCCCGTTGAACAAAAGTGACGACCTACAGCCCACGGCTTATGCAGATTTGACCTGCATCATTGCAAAATTAACTTTAATTAAGAAAAAAAGAAAGAAAGAATTTTTTTTATTTTTTTTTTTAAATCCTTTTTGACCTGACGACGGAAGTTAGTTTGCCGTAATCTTGCGGCTGAGTACTCTACTGGTTTCGCTCGCCGCGAACCTGTTTTTTTTTTTTCCGTCTTATTAATTTGTTTAATTTTGTTATCATGAAGCCTCTGAAGAATCTGTGAAGATTAGGTCTGGACAGTTCATCCCTAAACCTCTCCGCAAACCCTAGACCCTTAAACCTCAAACCGTAAACCCTAAACCCTTCCTAAAGCCTAGACCCTAAAAGCCTAAAACCGTAGGTGATAGAGATCGTACACACAATACTACACATAATGATGTGTCATGGTATTGCTACAACATCAGAGCTCTCTATCTGTTAACCCTTGCTATGTCTGTACCACCTTCTTCTTCTTCTTCTTCTTCTTCTTCTTCTTCTTCTTCTTCTTCTTCTTCTTCTTCTTTTCAGTGTGGTTCTTCTTCTTCTTCTTCTTCTTCTTCTTCTGCTGCTGCTGCTGCTTTGTGTGTGACTGTTGTTGTTGTTGTTGTTGTTGCCTTTTTTGATTCTGTGGTGATTCTTGCAGATCTTGATCCTGTGGTGCTCGTTTTGCACGAGCAGTTAGTCGAGATTTTGCGCGAGCAGTTAGTCGAGATGGGTTTTGCAAGGTCAACGGCTGAATCGGCAATCGCCGCCTGTGGTATGTATTATAATCGGTCTGCCGGCCACCCAAGCTCTTTTTTCTTTCTTTTATAATTTTACCTCAGAGTCTCTCGATATATGTGTGTCATCCTTGTACATGGGGGATGCGAATCTTCTCTCTCTGTATCGTTTACAATTTTAAAAGATGTCCCGAAGTATGGGCAGCCAAGTTCATCATCTGTCCTTTGCAATTTTTTTTCGTAGAAACCCCCATGATCTCCTTTTCCAGTGAATGCGCAGCGCGTCTCAGGAGGTGTGGGGGCTTGATTGGGGCCTGAGGGGAACTGAACCCACTACCTCCTGAATGCATGCCACTTTCGTGCTCTACCAACTGAGCTAGGCCGCGTGGCCGCCTTTTCTGTTTTTAATTTTTTTTTTTTTTTTAAGACCGTATTGCCTATGTTTGACCTTTGACGATATGTCCCATGTTTTTTTTTCCATAATAACTTTGCTGCATGTGGGCCTTCACAAAAAAGAAACAATAAAAAAGGTAGCGGATCTGTGATTCTACTTCCTTTCCTCATGTCTTAACCCCCTGAGTCTACCTCCGTTTTCTAAAATTTTGCCTTCTTCTTTTTTTGCACGCGCAGTGGTACAGAAGCAAAAGATGATGAGCTGCTAGAAGACAAAATATGGGACCAAAAAAAAAAAGAAAAAAAAAAAAAAGAAAAAAAGGAGAGACAAATGGGAGGACCCAGAGCAAGTACCTCGGGATAGCACGGGGAGAATGACAAGTCTCCAATGGTGGTAATAATACTAATAAAGATTAAGTTATCTTTATATTCGGTGGTTTCAGTGAATGCATGACCCTCCAATGGGTTATAATTTGATTAAAGATTAAATCATTTTTTTTATATTGGCCGGTCCGTTGACTGAATTCCACTGGAGGTACGATGGTGTGTCTGTTATTTGGATTCTCTTACGTGCACAAGTTTTGCAACAAAGGAAAACAAAAAAAAAAAAACAATTTGCGGAATTGAACCTTGAAATTCCTTTACCAACGGAGGATTGTGTCAGATGATTAAAAAAAAAACAAAAAAGAAGAAGAAGTCAGATTTCAAGCATACTTGCGGCGCACGTGTGCGCCGCGCTGTGCGCCATGCGCCGGATCAGCAGACAGCGTACTGTGCGCTGTGCGCTGTGCACGCGCTGCGGCCTGTGCGCCATGTGCGCCGAAATAAATAAATAAAAAAACAATATACCTACCCCCCG